TGTATGTAGGGAACAAGAGGACAAAACTAAAGTACAGTAGCAAAAGCAGTACTACTTAAATAGGGCAAGGCAAATAGGGTTTAATAAGTATGAAACACTGAGTTGGATCAGTGATGTATATGAAACAGTTTTCACTGGGTTGTATCATTGATGAGGATGAAACATGATAGAGATGAAATGTGATGTGAGTGAAACATGATATAGGTGAAACACAATAGATATGAAACACTGATGTAGATGAACCACATCAATTATGAGATCAGTTGTACAGTTACAGGGTCAATGACAAATAGTTAGGAAAAGAAAGAGAACCCCCCTCCGACGCTGTAACACATAACCAATGCCAGCACTCACTTTGAAGATGACCTTCGATCTCGCATTTGGTACAGAAGCAAAGGCAACAGGGCATAGTGCCAGAAGGAGGGGTGATAATGGAAAACTTGTGGTGCTCAAGGTGTTCTTCTAAGTTGGCAGCTTTGAGACGTGTTCAACATTGACTCATTTCTTCCTCTGTGCGAAGAAGTTCTGCCCCTATAGATTGTTGTGTGGCAAGAAGTAGGTCAATCTTCATGTCAATGGCTCTAAACCGATCCACTTCATCAGTCACTCCTGGGTCCTTGATATCTTGAAGTGATGCCCAAAGGCTCTCTAATAGATTGTCATCTCACATCAACAAGTACTCCCAAGTGTCCTCCCATTCTTTGTCCGAAGTGTTCCAGTTCCCTATGGGCTTGGCAGTACACAATGCTGCTGCAGCAGTAGTTGACACCTGTCATAGTCCAAATGCAGGATTGCCATCAATAGGAACACCCATGGGAGGTCAAGTGACAAAGTTAGAGTATGCTCCAGGAAAGTGGGGTAGAACCTGTTCCAAGGGATCAATGTCTTGTACAGGGGTCGAGGTGTTGAAAAAATGGATCGCCAGGACCTGGTAACATCATTTGAGGGTCATTGAATCATGTTGTTGCTATAGATCACAAACTCCTGTGGGTCGCTGCTGTATCCTTCTGATACCATAATATACTTGCTGACATTGGCTAGGAGTTGAAGGTTGGGAGCATGGTCAAGACTTCCATTGTCAGAGATGTCAAAAGCGAGAGGTGGCATACTAGGAGAATCAGTAGATGTAGCAGGGGGGCTATCAGGGTTTGAGGAGGACAAGGTATTCATAGGCGATGAGGATGGGAAGACCTGTGCAGGGGCAACATGGTAAGATCTGGTCAATGCTTCTGAGGTATTGTGAGGGATCTCCAGGGGTCCAGGGAACTGGTGGAGAACTATGGTGTAACAGTTGGAAGAGTCCAGGGGTCCTGAAATAAGGAATGGATGGCAGGTGACATTTGGTAGGGGTGTAAATGGATAGCAGAAGCCTCCATCTAGAAATTCTAGCAAAGAGTCATCAGATTCTTGCTAAGAAGGGAAACTTAAGATAGGCCAAATAGGGACTGGCATCTCTGTTATTCCAGCCGTGAAATGCTCTTCTAGTGCCTGGAGGTGGGAAGGGTAAGGGGTTGGCGCTCTTTGGGGTCCAACTGTCAGAGAATTGTCATGCCTAGGAGCCAAAGGGCGACAATGCGGATCCAGGTTAGGAGTAGCATTGTTGTTTCTAGTGCGAGTGTTGCGCTCAGCAGGCATAAGGAAAAGCCAAAAAAGGATTTTTCTTGAAAATGCAAAGCACAGAATACAAAAGGAACCCAGTACTACAGACAAAATAAGACCCCAGACCCTAATCTTGATGCTCCCTAATGTACTCAAAGTATACTTGAGTTGGGTTGTTGCTGTCCCAATTGGCAGCAATGATGGGGAGAGTGGTTGTGGTATGGGGGAGGGGGCACTGTGCAGTGGCAGCGATGTTGAATGCCCACTGGTGTTCCCGTTCAAGGTGCTTGATGATGAGATGAAGGGAGAGGGAGACAATGAGGGCAAGGGCGAGGATGCTGAGGAGGGTGGTTAGGAAGAAGCCCAGTAGGGCAAGGAGCAGGAGTTGGGGATGCTCATCGACCACAGTGAGGGTGACAGTGGCAAGGGGGGTGACTTGGTTCACCACTGAGAAGATCAGTAAAGGGGATCGGGGTTAGTTAAACTGGGGACGTTACTTGTGCGCCGTTATCAGCCCAGTTGAGAGCTTGTTTGGCGATGGGGGTGGTGACAGGAGTGGTGTTACGTTCAAGGTGGATCTTGAAGATATAGGTCTCCTTGAGGAAGAAGACAGTGAGAGTGATGAGGAGGATGAGTAGGGTGATGAGGAACCAGGTGATGAAGAGGAGTGTGATGAGCATGGTGGTGGATGCCATTGAGGATGAGAATGAATGATGGTTCTTATAAGGAATCATCCTTTGTTTGGTTGCAGGAAGTCTGCCAAAGCATCTTTGGCATGTG